CTCCAAACCATCCCCATCACATGGCCGTTTGCCGTTTGGGGACTGGACATGGTTGGGCCTCTGCAAAAAGCCCCCGAGGGCTATACCCACTTGTTGGTAGCTATTGACAAGTTTTCCAAGTGGATCGAGGCTCGACCGATCACTCAAATCAAATCCGTGCAAGCAGTATAGTTCTTCACGGACATCGTCCACAGGTTCGGAGTTCCAAACACCATCATCACCGACAATGGGACACAATTCACCGGACATAAATTTCTGACGTTCTGTGGTGACCACCACATCCATGTGGTCTGGTCGACCGTAGGACACCCTAGGACGAACGACCAAGTAGAACGTGCCAATGGCATGATTCTTCAGGGCCTCAAGCCAAGGATATACAACCAGCTGAAGAAATTCGGCAAGAAATGGCTGGTCGAACTTCCGTCGGTCATCTGGAGCCTAAGGAATACACCAAGGCAAGCCACGGGGTTCACGCCATTCTTCCTGGTCTATGGAGCCGAGGCCATCCTCCCCACTGACTTGGAGTACGGCTCCCCAAGGCTCTAGGCTTACAACGAGCAAAGCAACCGCACTACCCATGAGGACGCTCTCGACCAACTAGAGGAAGCCCGGGATGTTGCGCTGCTACATTCAGCCAAGTACCAGCAAGCCCTGTGACGCTATGAAGCCCGACGCGTACGAAGCCGAGACCTGAAGGTGGGCGACCTGGTGCTGAGACTGAGGTAGAGCAACAAGGGCCGCCACAAGCTGACCCCGCCATGGGAAGGACCGTACATCATCGCCCAAGTACTAAAACTCAGGACCTACAAGCTGGCCAACGAGAAAGGCAAAATCTTCACCAACGCTTGGAACATAGAACAGCTACGTCGTTTCTACCCTTAGAATTTCCAAGCATTGTACAAACTATTTCTCGGAATACAATTAAGAGGCGTTCTTTAGTTGTTCTAAATTTTCTAGAAACCCGTCGAGCCCATCGCGGGGCTCGGCATTACGATAACATCATGAGGAAGGCTCTGCTCTGTCTCTGCAGAACCGAGACTCCCTCGGGGGGCTAGAAGGGGGGACTCCCTCTCTAAGTCTCACGCACTGTTCTTAAATCATTTTTCGAAAAAATTCCTACGCCGAACTCTCTAGCGTGTTCTGACAAATCGATTGTGAAAGAACCTAAGGACCAAAAGACTGTCTCAAGGTCAGAAGGCCGGTTGAGTTGTGAGACGGCCTACGCCCCCGGGCTATGGCACTCCCTCACCACCTTCTGACCAAGGGGCAATTTAGGCTCCGAGGAAGTTTTTCACAAGAGATACGTTCAAAAACAAGACAGAGGGCAGATGCTCGAAAATACAATAAGGAAAAACGATTGAAAAAGCATCGACACACGATCACTTTAAAAAGGCCTCAACAGCCACCAATGTTATGATAGGACAACATAATCCCTAATCTAATTACATGGCCTCTTGGGCCCAGGTCACGGCGCAGGGTCTCCAGCAACGACGGACGGCGGAGGAGGGACAACCTCCTCTTCGAACAGCCCAGCCAGCGCCGCGCCGAGACCCTCCGCCGCCTCCATCAGCTTTGTCACCACCTCGTTGGCCTCCTTGTCATCATTAGGTAGGACGTAGCCATCGCTGATGGCTTGGAGGTCAACACCGACATAGTGCGAGGCGATGACGGCCAGTGCGCGCTTGACGCCCGTATGCAGCGCCCCTCAGAGTCTCTCGCACATCCGGCCGCTCAACGCAACCAGGCGGCTCCCGAGAGAGCTTCCTGACTGGACCCCCTCGACTTCTAGGGCCTCGCAGGCAGTACGAGCGGCGCTCTTCAGCGCGTCATGCTCCCCGATCTTGGTTTCAAGCACCGCCTGCACTGCGGCGGAGGCCTCGGCTGCCTGGGTGACTTCTTTCTCCAGCTCTGCGCCAAACGCAACGGAACAAGGTTGAGCGCAAAAAAGTACAAGCCAGAGCAAGGGTGGAAAGTCTATGGAACTCACCCTTGGCCTTCTTCCCCCAGCGTCGGGCCTCGACCTGAGAGGCCTCGGCTTTCTCCTTCCAACACTGGGCCTCAATCCGAGACGCCTCAGCCAACTCCTTCAGGTGCTGAGCCTCGACCCGAGCAGCCTCGGCCGCTCTAGAACCTTCCCCGCCAGCTCTATATCGCACCAAGGAGTTAGGGGCCGACAACAAGAAAAACGAATTAAAACAAACGAAACAAGACTCACCTTCAGCATTTCCCCTCCAGATCATAGCCTCGGTCCGGGAGGCCTTAGCCACCATGAGGGCCTCATCCAAGGTGCCTTTCGTCAGCTGGTGCACACTTTGTTTCGCCCCCCTGCCCAGCAAGGACCTTGCTCAAGGTCGTGGCTTCTCCAGCCTGGGACCTGGAGGCGTCCCGCTCACCGGCCACACGGATCAGCTCCTCCTCCAACTCCTTGACCAGCGCCGCCAAAGGGGCGACCCGCTCCCGGGCCGTAGCCGCCTCGACCGTCGCATCGGCACAACGAAGGCGAGGTCCTCCACTTCTGCGCTCCGTACCGCCAGGAGCTCGTTGGTGCCGGCAAGAAGCCCCTTTTTCCGCTGAAGCTGGTCCCAGACGTCCCTCTCCCCCCGGAGAAAGACCGACTTCCCAAGGGACCGGGTCTCGAGCTCCTAGGGGAAACAGAGCAGGGGTCAATCCCTACAAAGAAAACTCGGAAGAAGACCACCGCGTAGGAAAAGAAAGTGTGAACCTGGGCGACTCCGGGCAGATCGTCGGCCACCACGATAGCACCGTCCGAAGTGAGTGCTCCACCAGCCGGCGGTACTGCTCGAACGTGTCCTAGCGCCTGCCCTCGGCCACATCCTCGAGGGCAAATAGAGGCTCCACCTTAGGGTCGTCCTGGCTCTGCCACACCACACGTGGGTGGTCCCACCCGCGGGGCTCGGTTCGTACCCACGCGAGGGCCGAGCTTCCCTCACCCGGGGTCGGAACCGACTATTCCATGGCACCGACCACCTCACCGTCGGCCATCTCCCGTGCTAGGGAAACATCGTCGGAGGAGATCGGAAGGACCTCTACCTCCCGGGCGCTCCCCGGCAGCAACGGCGGGCCTTGAACCAGGGGTGCCACCGAGGCTTCCATCGCCTCCATCTCCACTTCCTAGGCCTCGGTGGTCCCATGGGCTCTAGCCCCGCCATCATGGCCTCGATGGGCACGGGGGCTTCGACCTCCACTGCTGCGGCCTCGTCGGTTGCCTCGGCCTCCGAGACCCTGCGGGCCTCGACCTCGGTGGCCTCGGCAACCGAGGACACCCCGGCCACATCCGCCTCATGGCCCTCACCTTCGTGGGGCGGAGGCGCCCCCTCCCCCATAGGTGTCGAGGTAGCCTCGATAGCCCCTCCTTGGGAGGCCGACTCCGTTAGGCCGGCTCTCACCGACACCACGCCGCGTCGTCTGGCGGCTTGTGCCCCCAGCCACCTAATGGGCGTTGGAGCCAGGGGTCACCTTGAGCACCTTAAGCGGCGCCAAAGAAGGCACCTCCGCAGGTCGCTTCCGACTAAAAACATAATACTTACAGGGTCAGCACGAGACGAAGGAACGAACAAAAAACGCTGCGGTGCCACCTAAGGTACGCTTACCTCGACCGGGGTAGCAACAGCTTTGGCACGGTGACCCTCGTCTGCAAAGGCGGCGACGGCGGCTGAAGTACGACCGCCGTATCCGTCGGCGCCGGCCGGTCCTCGACGGACCCCGGCGCCCCCTCGGTGCTCTGCGGGAGCAGCTGCGTCAGCTCTGCCGCCACTGGCACCACCGCTGCCATCGAGCCCACCGGGCTGACGGCACGCTTGCCCAATGCCCGCTCCTCGGGCGTGTCGGCCTCAGCCCCAAGGCGGATGATCACCGACCCCGAGGCGGCTCCTCCTCCTCCTCCTGGGAGCGCCGGGCTACTTACCAATGCCTCGGGCGCCGTCTCCTCAACATCAGGAAGATGGTCCTGGGGATCCCCCCCTCTCGCCCTCATCATCTCCGTTTGAGGCGTCCATCGATAGTGACGGCGACGGGGACTCCTCCAGCGGAAGGTCATCCCTCCTTTGCTGCCGATGACGCTCATCTAGCTTCTTGCGCGCAAGAATCTGCTTCGTGCGCTTGGCCGCCTTAGCGTCCTTCCATTTTTTCTGCACCTCGGCGTGCGCCCGGTTGATCGCCCGCCGCCTTGCATCCTCAGGAACAGGCGGCGGGGAGGCTCGCACGTCCCTCATCCCCTGCAGGAATGGCAAACGCGCATAAGGGAACGAGAAATAATGAGAAACGGAAAGAGCTCGGGGCTGCAGCGGCGCGCGACTTACCAGCGAGAGGTACCCCCGCGACGGACGCATCGCGAGGGTGGTCAGACCACCACTCCGCAGCTTCGCGTCCACCGCCTCCCTCACTCGACGAAGAATTTCCTCGTCAGAGAGGGCGGAGGCAGACAACCGGATGCCCACGATCGAATCATCCGGCCTCATCTCGAATGGGCGCCGCCGCCGAGCCATCAGCGACAGCGCCCTCCGGCTGTGGAAGGTGGCCACGACCACAGCCGCAATAGGTGGTGGTCCCGCAGCCTCTGCAGCCCCTCTAGGAGCGGCTGCATCTTGGGCTGATCCTCCCTCGGGACGCCATACTTCCACCGCTCCGGGCTGCTCCCCACAATCCACCTAGTGTAGGGGGGAAGTCCACCATCGTCATTGCGAAGGTAGAACCAGCTCGTGTACCATCAACGGTTGGATGGCCTTGGCTGGGCGGATGTAGAGTCTTGATGATCTGGCGCGCATTGGAGAGTGCACCGCCCGCCCTCACCGCCTTCCTCATGCCCGATGTGCCCGCCGGCTTGGTAGTATGCCCCGCCGGGAAGAGATG